GTTTGAAAGAAAGCACAAATTTGAAACTTGCCTGCTTCTAAACATGTACTCTTAAAAATATGCATATAAACTGGAGGCTGTGGGAGGGGCACAGTTTTTTTTTAGGGGTGTCCCATCAGTGAAGCCTCTTGTTTAAGTTAAACATACATAACATATCAGATCTTTTTGCCTACATTTTGTTTTCAGTTCCACTTTTCGGTTTTGAATAAACTGCCTTTAAACAAAAGTTTCTTTATGTTTTCTGTCGTCTGCCGTCTCAGTTCTGCTTACAACACAAAGTGTGATGAAAAAGAAGTTAGGAGGCTTGTTTGACAGATTAAGGAACTGAAAAACGTGCTTTTAATCATGCAATTAACAAGACATAGATGCTAATGCATGATTCAGTAAAAAAGAGAACATTGCAAGTTTTTTTGCTCTGTTTTATTTAGCTAATTTTTACATGCTGATCATGTAAACAGTTTGTTGCATTAAATCGAACCAGCCATGCATACAAGAAAACCTGTAATTTAGATTATTTATTTATTGCTAAGAAGTTAGAAAAAGCTGGGTGCTCTGCATTTACCTTACAGCCTTTTCAATTAGAGTAAAACACGTTTATATAAGGTTCTTAATGGACACCAAAGTAGAGTTTGACCTGTGTCCATTCACTGTGTAAGATTTGTGTGTTAGTCTGTGGCTCTATAACAACCCAGAGCTGAACAGGTTTTTACACCTGGATGTTAAATCTGACACATTCATGTTTCTCTTGGCTCTGAGGGGAGTGTTAGGACAAACTGCAGCTTAATTGCTCACCTGGCCGTCACTCTTAAAGCAAGTCCGAATGTTCTGTAAATAAACAGGATGTCAAGCGCTTTACTCTGAATTGCACGTGTGTAAGTTGTCATTATTTAGAGCAGCAGATGTTATTTTTTTAATTCCAGAGGAGATGTTTGTGACGGATCAATAACTTAATCAGTCTGTGTGGGGAGAGTCATAAATGATGATGTGCAATTATGTCCAATAATGTCTCGCCATTAGCAGCCCAGCTTGGCTGATAAAACACAAATCAATTAAAAACAAAAATCAATAAGGATCTTCTGATTGTCTAAAAGGTTTGTCAATAAAACAGGTTTATTTGAGCTCTTTCTCATTTTTTGTGATTAGGTCCAAGTTTTACAGTCACCGCCGCTCGATAAATGCCCAGCTTGTTGTTGACAATTTATTTTTTACGGCGAGGTTAACGAACGGTTTGGTTTTGGCGATGGCTGCATCGATTCGCGTGCGGACGACTTCTTTAAAAACACAAGAACAGCAGCAGTGCGTGAAACACAACACAAGTGGGGACACCGCCTGCAAACCATCTTCTGACAGTGAGTTTTTGTTCCAAACAAAAGGTGGGCAGGGAAGTGTGAACTGAGCTCATCACCTTGCATGAGAAGAAGTGCGGGGATAGAAAAAAAGATGCAGTTACCATGACAACATGCCTCCAAACAGCATCGTGAACAGGACTTCCAAAAGACTTTCATCATGCAAGTGTCTCCCTTTGTTTCAGAGAGGTGGAGTCACACACATTTCTGATTCACAGACCACATTCAGCTGCTTTGTGTAGGTGTGTGTGTGTGTGGGGGGGGGGGGGTTTGTTTCTGGTGACATTCGGGGGCAATTTTAAGACAAAAATCCTACATTTGGGGACAAAAGTCGAGTCCCCATTTGGTTTAAATGCCATTGGTAGGTTGGGGGGGTCGGGTTTAGGACCAAGGTGTGAACTGAGTTTAGGTTAGTTTTAGGGTCAGGTAGGTACCTGTGAGGTTAGCCTTAGGGGTTGTGGTCAGGGTTAGGCTGTAGAAATGTAATGGAAGTCAATGGAATGTCCCCAAATGGATAGATGTGCAAACGTGTGTGTGTGTGTTTGCATTCAGGGCCGGAGACGGGAGTTTTTCCCCTCCAGGTCATGCGGAGTGGTTGTGCAGACACCAAATAATGGTGGCTATTATGGCGCCCGGTGCCGCCAATCTCCATGTCAGCCCCCCCACCCCCCACCCCCACCCCGCGCGTCTCCGGGATGGGCCCCCACGATGGCCTGAATGGGCCGATAAATGGCCCTTTTGTTGGTGGGGCTCGTGTCTGAAGTGCAGCCAAGGAAGCGCTCGTACACACAACAAACACACACATTGTTGTAGCTTCCACTTGTCGAACGAGAAACTTTCAGGGGGTGAAGCGTGTCTGCAGTTCACACACACACACACACACACACACACACACACACACACACACNTGACTTGATTCATTTTTGTAACTGTATTTATGTCAAACCCAGACATTTTCCCTAAAATTAACCATTACTGGTCTATAGTTAACACTAACCTGAACACACACACACACACACACACACACACACACACACACACACACACACACACACACAGATATGAAGCTTGGAGCTGTTGGTTAATGAATTACTTTAAATAGGTGAGAGATGCTGCCGCCCACACATTGTAATTATCATATATATTGTATTGGCATTTCAGGGCTCAGTGTCAGAAAAAAAGTACACATTTAATGAAAACATGAATCTTCGATGAGGAGAACAGGCTCATATATATTTCTATATATATGTGCATCATTAAGCATGATATTATTGCCATAAAGAAGCAGTGATATACGTTGTAACCACAGGGAGCCATAAAGATGTAAGTAACTCAACGCTTCACCAGGAATCTCGTTTTTAATAAAGTTTTATAGAATAAAACCACATTTACAGTCAAGACCTGAAATTTGATGCAAAGTTTAAAAAAAAAGAAAAGATTATTTTTCCTCTTTGTGTCAATACAAATTGCTCCCAGATTACTGCTTGTTTACAAACTGTAATATAATAAAATAGTAAATTACTTTTAAATTAAACTATTTTTTGTGGGTCTTTAAAAAACTTTTATCATGTCTGGTTGAGATTTTAGTACCAAATGTATTGTTTTTGTACTCACAGTTGTATATTGCTTTCAGTTTGTTGATACTTTTTAAATTAGTTTATGCATCAGCTGTGTGAAAAAAAATATTTAGAGCTGTATTTGTGCTCAGATTTGTTCCCAGCAGTGTGGACAGAGTCTCAGACAGTCAAAACAGCAGACAGTAGCTCTGCGGCACCAGCATTTGTTACTAGGGAACTAGAAGGATGCAATTATGAAAACACCTGGTGTTCCATATTACCTGGGTGTACCTGCATGTGTTGAGAAGGGCTACTGTTATTTAGAACAACAGGGACAAAAACAACAATGCAAAAAGAAGTATAAACACGTTTCAGCATTCTTTTCAGTATAAGATGAAAGAGTTTTAAGCAATCAACAAATAAAGAAGGCACTGCAGTTAATTTACACTCTGCCCAATTGCATTCTGGGTATTAATGTACTTTTAACTGTTTGTTTGTTCACAAACATCAAAGCCCAGCCACTAAAGCAAATGAGCAAAGTTAGGATATCTGTGCAACAATATTGTTAATTAGATGAATTAATTCAACTCGCTGCTCTTTGTGATGACGTTCTGTTTTTATGTTGAGCTTTAATGATTTGTGTTGCTAGATAATTTAAAATAAGGGTCAAGCTGCATGGATCAGTCTGATTTTAAAAAAGGGAAAAAAGAGGGTTAAGTAATGTGAGTCACTGCATGTGCAGCATGAATGAGTTATGAAACTTTTATTCTGAGACGTTTTTGCGACTCCACAATATTATTTATAGTTGGTTAAAAAAATGAACCGTTACAAAATGTTTGACAGTATGACATTTCAGCTGTTACTTTAAGTACCATTTCTTCAAAATATCCAAAAGTTTCTTCATATTTTGTAATAATTTTTTACAGCTTTCTTAAAGTAAAGTGGCTGAAGGTCCAGCCTAAAAACAGTAAAGCTGTTGCTTGAAACAAAACTGGTTTCTCATCTGAGTCAAAGGTCAAAGATCAAAGTTAAAAGGTTTTGAAGAAAATTAGTGGAAAAGCAGCCAAAACCCAAAAAAAAAAAAAAAACAAAATCTTGAAAGACTAAGAGGTCTTTAGAACTGTTAAAACCACTTTAAAAGATTACAACAGGAGTGTAGGACTCAGTTACACAAAGAGGCCAACGTTCAAAACTTGGTCCAAGTCAACAATCTTTGTCAAAGTTTACTAAAAAAACATTATTCTTATGTAACTACAAACTATCTTTTTCAAATTATGTTTTATGTAACACATAACCTAACAGCTGAAGAATTAACATTTAATTTAGAAAGACACATAAGCATAACACATAAGTTTTAAACGCATTACCTTTTATGAACAACTTTTTCATTTATTGTATCTTATCACATCCAGCAAATCAGGTAAAAAAAAAAAGCTTATTAAAAATCTAATTGTTTGACTTTAAAATAAGTCGACCTGAGGGGGAATAAACATTTCCATCTGTCTTTGACCCTGGTCTCAATAGTTCTTCCTCAAAAGAGACATTTTATTTTATTTTATTTTATTTAATAAACAAAATAATAATGTTCTTTATAGTTTTGATTTATACTTTCTTTTAAATACAAGTTATTATCATTTTATAAACCAAAGTTACAGAATGAAAGGAATGACAATCTATCTTCTTGCATTGTAACAAAGAAAAAGAAAAAAAAACACAAAAATAATATTGTTCCAATGTTTTTTTATTTGTTTAACACAAATCTTTGTTTAATCAACTGTTATTTGACAGTAAAGTGATTATGTGTTTTTCTTTTTCTTTTTCAATTTAACTAAATTGATCATT